ATGTAGTTTTTTTGTTTGTTTGTTTCTGTTTTTCTGACAGGCAGAGTGGACACAGTGAGAGAGAGAGACAGAGAGAAAGGTCTTCCTTCAGCTACGGCCAGCGCTGCCCTGATCCGAAGCCAGGAGCCAGGTACTTCTCCTGGTCTCCCATGGGGTGCAGGGCCCAAGCACTTGGGCCATCCTCCACTGCACTCCCTGGCCACAGCAGAGAGCTGGCCTGGAAGAGGGGCAACCGGGACAGAATCCAGTGCCCCACCGGGACTAGAACCCAGGGTGCCGGTACCGCAGGTGGAGAATTAGCCTAGTGAGCCGAGGCGCCAGCCTATGTAGTTTTTTCATGACACCTATACTCCATGAACTTTTTGAATACCTTTTGGGTACCCAACTCCTTAAACTGTTATTTTTCCTGCTTTCAGCAGTCTCTAACTTTTTGGATAAATGTGTATAAAAATGAAAGAATTTTTAAAAGATTTATTTGAAAGGCAGAGTTACAGGAAGAGGAGAGACAGATCTTCCACCTGCCAGCTCAGCTCACTTCCCAAATTCCCACAATAGCTGAGGCTGACCAGATCAAAGCCAGGAGCAGGAAACTCCACCCGGGTCTCCCACAAGAGTGGCAGGGACCCAGGCACTTAAGCCATCATCTACTGCACCAGCAGGAAGCTGGACTGGAAGCTGGGGAGGCCTCAGACCCAGGCACACGCCATCCATTGCCTCCCAGTGTGGGTGATGCTGTGCCTGGCTGGGAGGCCGCCTGCCTGGCCCACACAGAAGGTTCAGAGGGCATGGCACACCATGCTTCCCCAGGACCTGACTGCTGGCAGGCGGCAGGGGCCCCAGGCACACTTCCCCCACCCCACCCCCCTTCCTGTTGCAGGGCCTTGCAACAGTCCATCAGGTAAACAGCTCCCAGGCGTGGCCCAGACCCTTAAGGGCCACCTGGAAGGCGATGTGACATTCCAGCTGACTGGAGAAGCACAGTGGCGCCAACATGGGCTTTATCCTCTAGAATTAGCGTTGCCCTGAACTAGCCACGCCCCCTCTGCCTGCCCTTAAAAAGCTTGTGCTTGATTGTTACTAATCGAACACGTTCCCGAAACTCGTCCCCAGTGCTTCTTGTCGAGGAACGCCGGCGCCCCCACCCCGACAGGGCGGGCCTCGCAGGACAAGCCTGTATCCCAGGATACATTAGGAGGGCGACAGGTCAAAAACAGGGCAGCTCCGACTCGCACTTCAACCCGGGATGCAGGCTTCCCACAACACTGGCCCCAGGTGAAAACACTGTTTCGATGCCATATCTAGGGGCCTCTGTGCGAAACACTGGTCGTGGGGATTCACAAAGCAAACGCCGAACACCAAACTCTCAACGCCACTTCCGCCAGGAGGATGAACCTGATCTCACCGCCTGTGTTTTCATTAATTCTTTTTCATCCCCTCTCTGCAAAAGAGAGGAAGGAAAAAAGAAGGGGAGAGAAAGCCAGGCACGCCCGCTGTTCTGTGGCACCTAACCCAATGCCAGGAACAACAAAATGCAAGCCATTCATAACTGTTCAAAACCTTAAAGTCCAAATAAGGAAACGAATACCCTAACATACCTATGGCACACATGCACGTACTGGGAAATGTTTAATGACACACTGTATATTTCCGTACAATCCAGTAATTATATAAGGAGGAGCTGAGATAAACTGTCTTGTTTTGAAGACTGATCAGTAAGCTGGGTCAGTTCCTCATCCCTAAAATGGAGAAATGTGGCCGGCGCCACGGCTCACTAGGCTAATCCTCCGCCTGCAGCGCCGGCACACCGGGTTCTAGTCCCGGTTGGGGCGCTGGATTCTGTCCCAGTTGCCCCTCTTCCAGGCCAGCTCTCTCCTGTGGCCAGGGAGTGCAGTGGAGGATGGCCCAAGTACTTGGGCCCTGTACCCCATGGGAGACCAGAAGAAGCACCTGGCTCCTGCCTTCGGATCAGCTGGCCGCAGCTGGCCACAGCGTGCCGGCCACAGCAGCCATTGGAGGGTGAACCAACAGCAAAAGGAAGACTTTTCTCTCTGTCTCTTTCTCTCACTGTCCACTCTGCCTGTCCAAAAAAAAAAAAAAAAAAAAAAAAAAAGGAGAAATGTTACCTTTCTCAGTGTCACTGTCACAAGGAACGCACACAGTGAGTGTCAGCTGTGTAACAGCAGCAGCAGCAAATGGCTCACTGAAGCAGTTTTCATTGAGAAACAGTCAAGGCAGAGTTCCAACATTAATATGCAAGTTTAACTGCTCAAGTTGTATGCTGAGATTCAAGCATTTAATGAAGTGCAATGTGATGCTGAATACAGATTTAGGGCTACGTAGGCAGTCTCCTCCTCCTCCCCCAGACACAGACACACATGCGCCCCCACCACGCCTCTGAAGCCAAGGCTAATGCTCAAAGACGTAAAAAGCAACCACTAGTGCACAAGCGCCCACAACACCCCCATCACAGGACAGGCCAAACTCAGAGCGGAAGGGGTGGAGAAGACAAAAGGGCGGAGGGAGGAATGAGACTTCAGACGGCTGGGAAAACTCTCGCCTGGGCACACGTCCTTTCCGCTTGATCTACCCACGGGCGTTTCACTGGTAGAAAGCTGCCACGCTGAGCATAGCGATGCTCTCACCAAGTTCACTCTCAAACTCTTCCCAGCTCCTCCAACGCAACTCAGAATTACAAATACACACAAAGAGCCGGCGCCGCGGCTCACTAGGCTAATCCTCCGCCTATGGCGCCGGCACACGGGGTTCTAGTCCCGTCGCCGGATTCTGTCCCGGTTGCCCCTCTTCCAGGCCAGCTCTCTGCTGTGGCCCGGGAGGGCAGTGGAGGATGGCCCAGGTGCTTGGGCCCTGCACCCCATGGGAGACCAGGATAAGTACCTGGCTCCTGCCTTCGGATCGGCGCGGTGCGCCGGCCACAGCGCGCCAGCCGCGGCAGCCATTGGAGGGTGAACCAACGGCACAGGAAGACCTTTCTCTCTCTCTCTCACTGTCCACTCTGCCTGTCAAAAAAATAAATAAATAAATAAATAAAAATAAATACACACAAAGACAGTCCTGGTCGCTGTGGGTGGTGGTCTCTTCCTGCTGTATCCACAGCCCACACCTGGGAGTCTTTCTCCAGGGTCAGTGAGACCCAGACAATCCAACTTCTCTCACCACCACCTGTCTCCTTACTTAGGGAAAACAGAGCCAGCCAGGGCTCCCAGTGGGCGCTTTTCTCTCCAGAAGGCAACAGCCACAGGGGGAAGCACCCAGCGCTCTCATCTCATCAGCACGTCCACTAAGCCCTGCAGATGAGCCCGTCTCCATTGAATTACTCTGGGTGTAGAACACACACACAACACCTGTTTCTTAAAATGAGCCACACCCCTATTCCGGACCAGTGAGCCCACAAGCCCCAGTATTCCATTTCAAGGGTGTGCGCCCAAGCCCCAGGCCAGCTCCGTCCCTTTGGAGCCCCCTGCAGAAATCATGCCTTTGCTAGCAGCTGCCTGAGCCCTCCCCCAGGTCTCCCAGGCAGGTTTTAAACACTACCTGAAGGGGGGGGGGGGGGCGGGCGGGTGGCATGCCCACAGCTTCCCACATTTACTGAACAAATGTGGTGATTTCTTTTTTTTTTTTTTTTTTTTTTCCAGGGATTAGCGGACTCTCAAAGAAAAAAACCAAAAAAAAGGGCTCCCTGTGCCGTTGGTTCACCCTCCAATGGCCGCTGCGGCCGGCACGCTGCGCTGATCCGAAGCCAGGAGCCAGGTGCTTCTCCTGGTCTCCCATGCAGGTGCAGGGCCCAAGCACTTGGGCCATCCTCCACTGCACTCCCAGGCCACAGCAGAGAGCTGGCCTGGAAGAGGGGCAACCGGGACAGAATCCGGCGCCCCAACCGGGACTAGAACCCGGTGTGCCGGCGCCACAAGGTGGAGGATTAGCCTAGTGAGCCGCGGCGCCAGCCCAAATGTGATTTCTGAAGACATTTACAATGTACTCATTATAGAACAATCAAATCTTAGTGAGGGCGCTGCACTCGGGGGGGGGGGGGCCTGCAGTTTTAATGCCCCTCATTTTAAAAATAGGGGGAGAGGGAGGTCGCTGAAATCATGAATTTAAATTTGCACCTGCTAAGACAATCAAATGATGAATCTGAAACACATGTTGTGTGCCACCTAAAATCGCAAACAAGGCAGTAAGCACACAGCCCGCAATACTGTAACTAGGAACGTGCACCATATTCATAGATTTATTATTTTAAAAACCACACCCTCCCAGGGAGGTTTCTCAGGTTCTCTGGGGGGACAAGCAGGCTCACAGCATCCCAGGCTGCTGCCTAGGGGTCCCGGCTGCGACCCACACGCCCAGCGGCAGGCTGCGGTCACCCCAGCGCCGAAGGGCGTTCGGAAGCCCCCGGCCGCCCCTCCCAGGGCCCGCCCAGCGCTGCCCAGCCCTGCCCAGCGCTGCCCAGCGCTGCCCAGCCTGCCCAGCGCTGCCCAGAGCTGCCCAGCCAGGTCCAGTCCGGCCCAGCCCTGCCCAGTGCTGCCCAGCCCGGCCCAGCCCTGCCAAGCCCTGCCCAGCCTGCCCAGCGCTGTCCAGCCAGGTCCAGTCCGGCCCAGCGCTGCCCAGCCCTGCCCAGCCTGCCCAGTCTGCCCAGCCATTCCAGTCCGGCCCAGCCCTGCCCAGCCTGCCCAGCCCTGCCCAGCGCTGCCCAGCGCTGCCCAGCCAGGTCCAGCCCGGCCCAGCCCTGCCCAGCGCTGCCCAGCCCAGCCCAGCCCAGCCCTGCCCAGCCTGCCCAGCCCTGCCCAGACCTGCCCAGCGCTGCCCAGCCAGGTCCAGCCCAGCCCAGCCCCGCCCAGCCCCGCCCAGCGCTGCCCAGCCCGGCCCGGCCTCTGCACGACCCCGGCGCCGCCCGCCTGACCCTAGCGGGCAGCCACGCGAACGCCCGGCCCAGGGCGCGTAAGTTCGAGGCGGGCAGCCCCACGCCGGCCCGGACTCACCATGGCCGAAGAGCCGCGAGCGCGCCCACAGCCCGAGTCCCGCGGCGCCGGCGACGCCCGTTGTCCTGGTGACGCCAGCTGCGCGCCCCGCCCCGGCCCCAAGGTGAGCTCGGAGCCGGCCATTGGCGGCCGGCGGGCACGTGACGCGCGGGGCGGGCCCGCGGGGGCGGGGCCTCGGGGCTTCGCCGCTGGTGCCTCCTGCACCTGTCGGATGACCCGCACGCACCGCGTGCCGAGGGACCCAGACTTGGGTGCATCTTCCTGATGAAGGCGCTATTGCGCAAGTGAGGCATGATGCATGGAATTACCAATTTCAAGGATGACAAAGGTCGCTCTAAAACCAGGGTTTGAGGTACCCATTGTATTCCAGTCTACCTGCTTCCAAGCTTCCAGCAAAATACGTGTTCTTAGAAGCGGAGACCTACCATGTGCTGTTTTATAATCTGCATTTTTTCTGCTAAAATTTTTGCCTTTGCATGCGCATTTCTGGAACAGCACTGATGCACTGCTTTTGATTTATTAAGTAATTTGTTGGGTGATTTTAATATGGTTGAGCAGAACTTGATCCTGGAGCCCAGCTCATTATGAAGAAGGAACAGATTCGACCACCTGTCGTCTCTCCTCCTGAATGTCCAGGGGCATCACAGATTTAATATGGCCCAAATAAACCTCATGATCCAGGTTTCTTGCTTTCTCTTTTTAAAGGATGCGTTCATTTATTTGAAAGGCAGCGTTACAGAGAGAGAAAGGTAGAGACAGAAACAGAGGTCTTCCATCCACTGGTTCACTCCCCAAACGGCCACAACTGCTGGAGTTGCGCCCACCCGTAGTCAGGAGCCAGGAGGTTCACCTGGATCTCCCATGTGGGTGCAGGGGCCAAAGCACTTGGGCCATCCTCCACTGCTTTCCCAGGTGCATTAGCAGAGAGCTGGATTGGAAGAGAAGCAGCCAAGACTCAAACTGGCACCATATAGAATAGCGGAGCTGCAGGCGGCAGCTTAACCCACTGCACCACAACGCCGGTCCAATATTTTCCATCTTTTTGCCTCATTGTACCGTGTCCTGAAAGACACCCTCAGCTTGGTGCTTTGTTCTCTAATCATTCCCTGGATTTGTCCATCCAATCTGTCATTCATCCCAGCTGTTTGAGTTTTTACAAAATTTCAACAACCGTATTTTATATTTACAAAGTTTTGTTTCTTTTCTCACAGCTGTTCATATTACATACTGGGTTTAAATTTTTTATTTTGCAAAAAAAATCTTTTCACTTACCAAAGAAAGTTATTGTATATCTTTTATCCAGTTTCTCCTAATGCTAACATGTTCCGTAACCACGGCATATTTATCAAAAGTAAGAAATTAACACTGGAACAGTAATACTAACTAAAGTGTGCAATCCCGAAGCAGGACCATTCCTTGTTTTCTGTAGTCTTTCATGATCAATAGGAAGACCCCTCATCAGGCGTTTTGCAGAATGTCCCTCAATTTCTGGGTGTTCCTTTTTTTCTGATAGCTTTGTGTAATTAGATTCTGGAGCAGAATACCACAGGAGTGATGAATATGTCCTCCTTTGGCCTGCGCCACAGCTCACTAGGCTAATCCTCCGCCTGCGGCGCCGGCACCCCGGGTTCTAGTCCCGGTCGGGGCACCAGATTCTGTCCCGGTTGCCCCTCTTCCAGGCCAGCTCTCTGCTGTGGCCAGGGAGTGCAGTGGAGGATGGCCCAAGTGCTTGGGCCCTGCACCCCATGGGAGACCAGGAGAAGCACCTGGCTCCTACCATCGGATCAGCGCGGTGCGCCGGCTGCGGCAGCCATTGAGGGGTGAACCAACAGAAAAGGATGACCTTTTTCTCTGTCTCTCCCTCTCACTGTGTCCACTCTGCCTGTCAAAAATTAATTAATTAATTAATTAATTTAAAAAATATGTCCTCCTTCGTTCCTGATGAGGTCAGTTATCTCCTAAGGCCGACGGCATTAACCACACCATGGGGGGGGGGGGTGCTGGCCAGGTTTCTCTGCTGCAAAGTTGCAATTCCTTTTGTAATTAATCCGTGTCTTGTGCAGAGATGCTTTGAGAGTGTGCAAATACCTGGGCAGATCTTCCAGCAGCAATATTGCTGGAAGTTATTTTTCATTCCTTCTAAATTTAATTTGTTAATAGAGTTCTTCAGTAAGGAAGAGTTGATTCCTTTTCTCAATTTATTTATGTATTCACATGTACAGCAAGGACCTTGTGGGTGGTTACTTTATTCTTAAGTTACAACCTGAAACTGCAGTTTTTCATTTTATTCTTAAAAATATTCCAACTTTGGGGACTGTTGCACACTTCTTGTCTGTCTGTCTCTCTCTTTTTACTTTTCATTTCCTTATTGTAGCTCTAAAAGGTGCTCCCAGCATTTCTTGTATTTCCCTACTCAAACCTAGAATCAACCACTTCTTCAAATAACCTTGGTTCTTTATGTTAGAGAATGGTATTTAGAAACCAAAATCTGTGCCTTAAAGGTGCTCATTTGCTGTTAGGATATCCTGCTCCTAGGCCCTTGAAGCAGACAGTACTATACGTGTGCTAGTCTGTGTGTTCTGTTACCACTCTGTATGCGTGTAAAAGTATGGGGGGGGGGGGGGCGTGCTCTGGCGCAGTAGGTTAATCCTCCTCCTGCAGCACCAGCATCCCATTTGGATGCCGGTTCTAGTCCCCGCTGCTCCTCTTTCGATCCAGCCCTCTGCTGTGGCCTGGGAAAGCAGTAGAAGATGGCCCAAGTGCTTGAACCCCTGCACCCACATGGGAGACCTGGAAGAAGCTCCTGGCTCCTGGCCTCAGATCAGCACCAGCTGTGTGGCCAACTGGGGAGTGAACCAGCAGATGGAAGACCTCTCTCTCTTTCCCTCTCACTGTCTGTAATGCTACCTCTCAAATAAATAAATAAATAAGATAAAATATTTTAAAAGTATCCGTGAATTCATCCTGCTGTTTTAGACTTCAATATAGAACAGAGGGTTCCTTCTTTTCTTTTATTTTTATTTATTTATTTTTTGACAGACAGAGTGGACAGTGAGAGAGAGAGACAGAGAGAAAGGTCTTCCTTTGCCATTGGTTCACCCCTCCAATGGCGCCACGCTGGCGTGCTGCGG